GGATTCGATGAAACCTTAAAGTAGTTTCAATTTGCATTTTCCTAATTACTAAGGATGTTGAACAGGTTTTACGGTGTTTCTTAGCCATTTTTATTTCTTCCTTTGAGAGCTCTCTGTTCAGTTCCATAGCCCATTTTTAGTTGGGTCATTTGTTTTGTTGTTGTTGGTCTTTTTTGAGACAGGGTCACCCTGTAGACCTAGCTGGCCTAGATTCACTATGGAGACCAGGCTGGCCTCGAACTCACAGAGATCCGCCTGTCTCTGCCTCTCGAGTGCTGGAATTAAAGGTGTGCGCCACCAAGCCCAGCAGGACTCCATCTCTTAAAAGTAAAATGGAACAATCCTATTTGTCTTGGTTCTTGAACTTTTGCAGATGGCTCCGTGAAAGTAAGCATCACAGCTTCCCTGAGCCCAGTGTTCCTGGAATCTTGGTTGTAATATCTACTTGTCATTGTTTTTTTTTTTTGAGACAGGGTCTCCCTGTAGCCCCAGTTGGCTTAAAATTCACTATATAGACCATCCCAGGCTGGCCTTGATCTCACAGAGATCTACCTGCCTCCTGAGTGCTAGGAATAAAGGTATGCACCACTACACCCGCCTTGTAATCTCAACGTGTGTGTGTGTGTATAATATATATACATATATATATATATAATATACTTGAGAATTTCACACCTGTACACAATGTGTTATATTTACCACCCCTACTTCCTTGCAATTCCACCACCAACTCCAGGATCCACCACCACCAACCCACCCTCCCAACTTCCTGTCCATTTTTATTTTTTAAAAATATTTTTTATTTTCATTTTATATGTGTATGCATGTATTGCTTGCATGTAGGTAAGTGCACCTGTGTCATGCAGTGACCACGGAGGACAGAAGAGGCCATCAGATCCCCTGGAACTGGAGTTTCGGACAGTTGTTAGCTGCCATGTGAGTGCTGGGATTCGAACATGGGTCTTATGCAAGAACAGCCAGTGTTCTTAACTGCTGAGCCATCTCTCTAGCCCCATGTCCATTTTTAAAAACCCATCAAGTCCCAGTTTGTGCTGCCTGTACGCTCATAGGTGTAACACCATCAACCCACCAAAGGCCACACCCTTAAAGAATGTTGACTCTTCCTTTCCAGCTGTCAGTAGCTCCTCAGCTGGGAGTGTGGGCTGTGAGTACCTCCCCCTTCCATACTGGAAAGTCAGCCGACTTGATCTTGTGCAGCAGCCACAGCTGCTGTGAGTTCATGAGTGCGATGTCTCGTCATGTCCAGAAGACAGTTTCTACTCTAGTCCTCCCCTACCTCCAGCTCTTACAATCTTTTGTCCTCCTCCCAAGATGGTCCCTGAGCCTTGAGAGAAGGGGTTATGATAGAGATGACTTGTTCATGGCTGAGCACTCCACAGACATTAATTTTCTTCACTTCAATTGTTGAGTTTCTGGGTTAACTGTGTAATCTCTGCTTTTATGACAATATGATAGAACAATATTTGTTACAGAATTTTAGTGTACATAGTTGATGTTAGTTACTCAGTATCTCATAATTTACTGAGGAGTCCCTTGTCATACACCTTGACTGAAGGACTGACATATCAGAACTGTCTGTCCATCTAGCCTGTGCCTACCTGGGGAGTCACAGCACTTGGGAGGCAGAGGCAGTTGGATCTCTGTGAGTTCAAGACCAGCCTGGTCTACACAGTAAGTTCCAGGACAGCTGGGGCTACAGGGAGACCCTGCTTCAAAAAGACAAAAAAAAAAAAAATTTATTATGGGGCTGGAGAAATGGCTCAACAGTTAAGAGCACTGACTGCTCTTGCAGAGGACCCGGATTCAATTCCCAGCACTATAGTCCCAAGGACTATAAACTGTCCTTGACTCCAGTTCCAGAGGAACCCGAAGCCCTCTTCTGACCTCTGTGGCATTGCAGGACATGGGTGCATTCACATACCATGCAGGCAGTGCACTCATACACGTAAAATGAAAATAAAATTTAAATATTATTTTAGATGTATGAGTGTAAGTGCACCCAATACCCATGGAGGTCAGAGAGGGCATCAGAGCCCTTGGAATTGGAGTTAGGACAGTCGTTAGCCACCAAGTGGGTGCTGGGAATCAAAACCTTATCTGTGAGCTCATTTCTCTACAAGGCCCAGGTCTGTGCCTTTCTCGTCTTCCCTTCTCTAGTGGGAAGTTCACCAGTGCATTCTAAATATGGTTTCTCCCTTCTGAGCAGTAGATGGTCCTGTTGGTGTGTGGAGGGTAAAGTCTCTTGATTGGGACTAATTTCTGGGCTCTTGGGAGTCATCCTAGGGGTAGAGTGCAGACAAGTATCTGGACTACAAGGACCAGGTTTTGGCAGCTATAGACGAGGAACCTGTCACTTGGAGCCCCAGGTGTAGATGAGGCCACCTGAAGGAGATCTAGAAGGACATGGGGAGTGGGGAGAAAGTTCTAGAACTTCTAACAGAGATCCTTCTCAGGTGTGGAAATTGTACTTGGTACAGAGACTGCCTTCCATTTTTCTCTCTCCTGTTCCTTACCACTTCTCCCTAGGGTTGCTGCTGCCCCACCCCCACTCTCTCTGCTGGAATGCTGCAGGAGCCTCAGCAGGGCTGTTTTCAACCTGCCTCCCAGCAGCCCCACCACCCACCACCTTGTATTTTTTCCAGGGTTCTGGGATGGAAACCAGGGCTCCCAGCCCCACCCTCTACAGTGTAAATCAAAGTTTCAGTATTTGGCCTTCTTTCCTCAATTGCGTCACCAGTGACCTAGATGTCTTTTATCACAAGTTCATTTGTGATTGGCAAATACTGTATGTTCTATACTGCAAGTTAAGTTTAAAATAACTTAGAAACATAGGGTCATGCTGTTTTCTAGGGTCCCATTCTTTCTTTTTTTTTGGTCTCCGGGGCCCCTCTGGTGGCAGAACTCAGAGATCTGCCTGCCTCTGCTGGGATTAAAGGCATGCACTACTATGCCCTAATGAAATTTTCTTCAGGTCTCGTTTTTTTCAGATCTCTCTGGAATGGCTGGTTCCCTACCAATACTGCATTTATGAACAAACTGACAGAGATGAGATGAGATGCAGGAGTCAGTTTTGCCGTTAATGTGTTTTTTGGTGTCTGGATAAAATCAAGTCTTCCTTCCAAAGGGTCATTCAGAATCATTTAAATGCTGGAAATTGTTCCAAAAGAAAATGTTTGTATGATATAACTCAATTTTTTTTTTTTTTTTTTGGTCTTTTTGAGACAGGGTCTCCATGTAGCCTCAGCTGTAGACCAGGCTGGCCTTGAACTCACAGAGATCCACCTGCCTCTGCCTCCTGAGCGCTGGGATTAAAAGCATGCGCCACCACACCCAGCATAACTCAATTTTTAAAATCATTATCTTAAAGGTAATTTAAAAAGTAGCATGGAATGCACTTGTACCAGTGTTGTGAGGACTCCAGGAATGACACCTGCCCCACGGTCCTGGGGCTTTTAGAACAGAGATCACATGGAGCAGGGGTCTAGATCTGGCTGCTTGGCGTGGATATATGAAGCATGTGGCAGAACGTTATTGCACTTAAGCCAGGTTTCCTTTTCAGTCTTCTGTTACGCCATCTGGTTGATGGCAGCAGTGTTGGAGTGCATGTTCTCAGTGTGGAAGAGTGAGGCAGAAGGTGCAGTGGCGGTGACACCACTTGGAGTGGCACCGTGTCCTTGAAGGTGCTCTGACTTGCATATCCCTTTCCTGCCAACAGGACCGTGGAAACCACCAGCTTTGGTTTGCTGCTGAAGACAGATGACGACTGTTACATAGACTTAGAAGCTGTGTTTCATAGAATTTCCCAGAAGAATCTGAATGGGTCTAATTTTTGGTGGGGAAAGTGAGTGAACCAGACAGCAGTTGTCTTCGGTGTATCTGATGAAGCATAATGTGGCTATGAAATTTCCTGTTAGTCATTATACTATCCAGGGTTTCTATGCTATCACTCTACAATTAGAAGGAAGAAACTCAGACTAGAGCCGGGCATGGTGGCACATGCCTTTGATCCCAGCACTGGGGAGGCAGAGGCAGGCGGATCTCTGAGTTCGAGGCCAGCCTGGTCTATATAGTGAGTTCCAGGCCAGTCTAGTTAATGGAGAGCCAAAGCTGTGGCTTTTATCCCTGAGCCCTGGAACACAGGCACTCAGAAGCTGCTATGTTAGAATCATGTGAGATACTTCTCCATGGCAGTTTTCTATGCAGCTTCAGGGCTACTGTACGGGGAGGCAGGTTTGGTAGATTAAGGATACAGTTTTAAGGATACAGTAAAACACAGGGTAATCTGCCAGCTCCCATTCTGGAACAGCTAACCTTACCAGTCTTTCACATAAAATACTACTGGACAAATAATTCCTTAAATTCAAAGAATTTTTTTCCTATTCCCTGCTCTGCAAGCCCATTCCTTTGTGGTGATCAAGAGTCCAGTCTGCCTCCTAGACTAGGCAGGATGTGTCTGGCCAACATAAAGAAGCTGTTTTATGTCTCAGTTTCAGGTTGAATTGGGCGGTGGACAGAACTGGAAAGTGGCAGGAGCTGGAATACCCCAGCCCTGCCTACCCTGCCTTTGCATGCGGGTCAGGGTATGTGATCTCCAAGGACATTGTTGACTGGTTGGCAAGCAACTCTGGGAGGTTAAAGACCTATCAGGTAACTAAGGTCACTAATCCTGCCCAGTGTCCTCAGCTGTCCTGAAGCATAGCTATGCAGAAAAACACATTGTTCTATGTAGAAGTCACTCCTTAAAGGTTGGGGACACATCCTTGCCACCTCTCAGATCCTGGCTAGGAATTCTAGTCCTGTATCTTATTTGAGTGTGCTTACATTGTTTTTAGTCTTATGTTTACAAGTATAGTCTGTGGAGGAATGTAAACCCTTCTGTTCATAAGAAAGCAAGCTAAAAAAAGAGCTCATTTTCTCCTGATCTGGTTATGATGTCAGGGACCAGCTCCCAGTTACTAGATCCACCGCAATTTCGTCATCGTGTGAGGTGTGAAAATACGCCTGTTTACTTACTGTGTGGGTGCTTCCTGTCCATAGTCACTAGCTTTCTTGAGCATCTGGGTTAAGTTAATCTGCATATGGCCTTGTCTTTACAAAAACATTAAAAGCTTTGCAATTGACCGTACACAGGGAGAAGATGTAAGCATGGGCATTTGGATGGCAGCCATAGGACCTAAAAGACACCAGGTAAGCAGGCCTGAGGGTACTGACCTCAGGTTTCTTAGAGGCGGGCAAAAGAAATGAAGGCCTTCCAGAGCTGATCAGAAATTCTTGGCAGCTTTAAAACTTGGAATCTGCTGACTTGAGTTCCTGGTGCATGGCAGAGAGGATCTTGTAGCTCTTCTCACCGACACCAGATTCCACTAGGGTTTGTTTTTTATTATTTGTAAGACACTGCTGAGCCAGAGAAAAGAAAGGTGCCTGCAAAGACCAAAATAGAAAGTAGTAGCCTTGAGTGGGGGGCAAGCTTTTGCCTCATATTTGTTGCCTTCTGAACTCCTGAAACTTCTGTTTTGGCCATACAAGGTGTAGAAGACAGGATGTGCAGAGCCACAGTCCTCACTCAGGCCGAACAAGAATGTGTACCTAGTCTGTTGGTTCAGCTAGATGGTCCTGATCCTGCATCATGCCTCCAGCCCAACTATGACTCAGTGTTGAATGCCAAGGTTCTCTGTCCACATCTCATCGTTCTGATACTGAGGTTTCCATGGGCTATTTGTGGCATTGTTGCTGATGTGTTTACGACCCATTTGGGGAACCCGAGACCTTTCTGAAATGCAGTCTTACAGGGGGATGCACTTTTCCCACTCTGCCCTTGCCAGGTGCTGTCCTGTTGAGTTTTTGTTGTTTCTCTACAGGACAGCCTCTGGTTGTGTGAGAAGACCTGTGAGACAGGAATGCTATCTTCCCCTCAGTACTCACCACAGGAGCTGAGCAAGCTGTGGGAACTGAAGAAACTGTGCGGGGAGCCTTGTCAGTGTGAGGCAGGATCACCATGATCCCAGAAGACCGGGACTTGGGGACTTTAAGTCTGAGGAGAGCCTAAGGTGTGGGGACACAAAACGGGGATTTCAGGAGTTTTAGGTTGGTACCTTCCCCTCTAATCAGTGTGGTATTTCTTAATATTTACAAAGATCTCCTTTTTGAAAATCAACTGATACTGCAGCATAAGTTTATATAT